TACTCAGGAGGCTGAGGCAGGAGAATTGCCTGAACTCAGGAGGCGGAGGTTGCGGTGAGCCGAGATCGTGCCATTGCACTCCAGCCTAGGTAACAAGAGTGAAACTCCGTCTCAAAAAAAAAAAAAAAAAAAGATTTTGGTTTTACAGCACCTGCCTTAGCTGTACCATAGTTTTATTTGTGTTCCTACTTGAATAATTCACAGTCCCATAGTGGTTACTCCTTTGGTGATTCAATTAAGATATTCAAATAGCAGGATTTAGTTGGACAAAGCTTTGAACCAAGTATTAGTTTATTTTTACATACGGGTTCTCATTAAATGTTGCTGAGCATAGCTAGTATCATAGCATTATTTTTGGGAGTGCCATTAATTTGATACTAATAATCTCCCTTCTCACCCCTCCCCATCCCAATGGAACAAAAATGCATCAAGAGGCTGAACCAGGTGCACCTTAAAAGGCCAAGGTGGAAGAACTGCTTGAGCCTACAAGTATCAGACCAGCCTGGACAACATAGCAAGACCCTGCCTCTGCCGGGCGTGGTGGCTCATGCCTGTAATCCAAGCACTTTGGAGGCCAAGGCGGGCGGATCACCTGAGGTCGGGAGTTCAAGACCAGCCTGACCAACATGGTGAAACCCCTTATTTAAAACAAAAAAAGACCCTGCCTCTAACAAAAAATTTGCACCTACAGTCCCAGCTAGTGGGGAGGCTGAGGTGGGAGAAACACCTGCACACAGGAGGTGGAAGCTGCAGTGAGCTGAGATCAAGCCATTGCACTCCAGCCTGGGCAACAGAGCAAGACCATGCCTCAAATAAAAAAGCACTAAACTGTAAAAATTTTTAAATCTACAGTGTTTACTAGTTACTACGTGTGTACTGTTATGTTTTTTGACTTTAACTCATTTAATCAAAGATGTTTACAATTTTAAGCTACAGAGAGATGATCTGCCCAATATGGATAGTGAGAGCTGAAACTGAAGCTAAGCTATTAACCATTATTCATGTGGTTTTCTTTAGATTTTAAAGGTTCTTACCATGAAGAAGTGGAGTTATGGATATGTTAATTAGCCCGATTTGGTCATTCCACAGAATATACATGTATTGAAACATCACGTTGCGCTCCATAAATACACACCATTATATACACCTTTTGTAAATCAAGTCTTTAAGATCTCATTTGCCAATGAAACACAACCACCACTGCAAACTACTCCAGTGTATCAACTTTCTGTAATTGTAATCAATATAATAATATAAACCCCCAAACAGTACCAACAGTTGTAAGCATAATCAAGAGACAATTCTAAAATACGGTTTTACTCAAAGCAAACACAGAACACCAGCCAATGGAAGTATGAAGGAGGCTGGAAATGGAGGAGGAGAAAAAAATATGAAGGAAAATGTTTCAATTCCATCTGAGGGTATGCACATACCTGGTCTCATTCGAACCCTGCGGATGTATTTTTCACCTAAGAAATTTCGGATTTCAACAAGAGACCCATTTTCCTGGATAACGACGTTGATGGGGAAGTGAGCATACACAGACCTCATCTTGTAACGGAAGCCCTATGTTAAATAAATAAGCTATTAGCAATGCTGAGGAGTATTTTTTTCCACCCCCACCCCGCTGAGGAGTATTTTTTAATAGTTTTTAAATTTTCTATGATTATACTTATTTTAAAATGTAACACTCACTGTCAAGATTTTCCAACAATTGTCACCTGAACCAAGCCTTACAAACACTGTTCTATTCAGTGGACTGTCAAGTTCCTTACGGAGGCATTTATTTCACTATCCCGTATGCCCCCAGTAAACAATGCTAACTTCTTTTAATAAGAACCCCAAAGCGACATTAGACTAACACTTACTGAGTTACTAAGGTACACCACATGCCAAGAATTGAGGCTAAAGCCAAAGACAGCCCCCCTGCCTTCACGGAACTTAGTCTGGGAGCAAGGGTAGATGGGGAACCTTAACAGATTTATAATAGATGTACAGGTTGCCATTATCAGGTGCACTCCAGAAGGCATAATGCAAAGAAAACCATTTCAGCATGAACTTTTTATCCTGAGGGGAGAAACGGTGGGCTGGAAAGAAGAGTGACATACATTTACAGCAACAGAGAGAACACTCAGAAACTACATTTTTTTCTATCCCAGCAAGGGGTCCTGATAGTGAGATCTGATTGTCGACTAGTAATCAAAGCCTGTCCTCTGTACTGCAACTGCAGATTTCCTGTTTAAAAATAGTGAGACCGCAGCCTTGATTTCAAAAAACAGAACAAAAAGCCAAATATGTTGTACCTATCTGGTCTTTACTCTCAGCTGTATCACTTAATCTTAAAGACCCAGAGATGCCTATTTTTGCTAAGTTCTAGAGGTCGTGCATTACACCAGACAAAATGCATTACCCATTCTCTGAAATAAACACTTATGCTATATAAATAAAACACAGGTGAGAAGCCTCCCTTTCCAAAACAAGGCAGTCTGATCCATCAGCTTACCAGCGTAACACCCTTGATCATGTTCTGTACATGACTACAAATAGTCCGAACGGTAGCAAGTTCCTTTCGGTTACCCCACCATTTGTCAACCCGGAGCTGTAATAAAACAAAAAATTATTCTTTCCAGAAATGTGTAGGCTTAAAAGAGAGCATACCACTTACGGAATTACTTTAAGATTCTAGAATTAACCCTAATCAAAGCACATGGTTTTCAACCGGAAAAATCCAACCACCTATAAATCCTCCCAACAGTTAAACTTTGTACAAGTTGCGACAAACTTCCCTTCTGGAAAATTAAATCAGGTTTAAAAGACCTACTGCCAGTTCCTAAGATTGCGGCAAAGCAATCACGAGGAAAACACGCCAAGTTTCTAACACCATTAAGACGTGCCACTGATGACCCCTACTACATTTGAGCTTCATATAATCCGCTGTTCAGAATCTGGTTTTTCAGTTTCACTAACGCAAAACTGGCTGCTATTCTGGACATTTAAAACTAAATAAAGCACTGAACCTCAATTCGAAAATTGTTAAAGCAACCAAATGTGATACTGTTATAAACCACCTTCCAAACAAGCAACTGAATTATCAGAAGAAAGAAAAAAACCTCACCCTCTTTTTTTTCTTTCCAAGAAGACTGAGTTCTACATTGATGTGATTGAAGTCCCTCCGCAGGGTTCCTCTGGGGCCCTTCACGAGAACTGTGCGTCCCTTCAGAGTAATGTCGACTAGAAGAGAACACACTAGTCAGATCACACAAGGCTTGAAACGTCTAGTAAAGATGTAAAAAGACATCAAGTCTCATACCATTTTCTGGAATGTCGACAGTCTGATTGCTGAGAATGGTCTTCATTCTGAAATACAAACACTGGGGGTGAGGCCGACGTAAGGCCTGTTTTCCACCAAACTACACAGCAGAGATCCACTCCTAGCAGAGATCCACTCCTACCGGAGACTGCCGGACTAAGTGCCGGGGAGGATATAGGACAGGGAACCGATAGCCGGCCCCAGTGCGTCCCGGGCTGTAAGGAGCAGCCCCGAAGCGAGCGTTACGAGAACCAGCGGGGGAAGTGCCGCTCAGCCCAACCCTGCAAGTCCTATTTGGGCGGCGCCATCCCGACAAGGCTGAGGGGCAGGAATAGGCCAAAAAGCCCAGAATAGGACTTGCATCCGGCGCCGCCAGGCTCATATGGCGCTTGCCGAGGTGGGGGACAAACCAGATAACGGGTCCGAGAGTCGGAGCCGCGCCGCAGACTTTCCCAGAGCAGATGGGTTCGGATTCCCAATGCCCCCAGAGCACAGAAACAACCTCACCTCGCAGTAAACGCAGCAAAGAAGGAACGCCTTTCCTCATCACGTACTTGTATCCCGTAAGGGGAGGGGCCTGCGTATTGCGTCATGAGTACGCGACGTTACGTAAGGCTAAAGCAGCCAATCGTGGAGCAGCTCGACTCTTTGTCATAAATGGAGCGACGTATTTTCGACCTGTCTTTTCCCTGCAGTTAGCTATCCGTCAACCCTTCCTCTGCGCTAGTCCTGTAAAGGAAATGTCTCTACGCTGCAGAGATGCCACCCGCACCCTGGGGCTCCGGGTGAGCGGCGGGGCAAGCGGGTTTGGGCGTGGGGTGGGGGATCCTATTCCTTCAGAGCGCCTACGCCCGATAATAAAGGCCAGTGCTTTTACTGAGCATTTACTTTTAGCCAACGGCAGTTTTAAACGTTTTTCGTGTAATCTCATTTAATTCTCCCGCCAGTCCCATGATACAGAGTCTCTGGCATCGATATGTTTGAAAGTCTTTCTGGGCCTGCACTGAGGACTTATTTTCTGCTTAGAGTGATTTGTACCTAATATTTATGGAGCACTGCAGTAAGCATCCCACATAGCTATTATGTATTGGACTCTTAATGTGTATAAGACACTCTAGCCGCAGAGAACACAAACTTGTCCTCTAGGCTTTAGCTGTAGACATGGAGAAGTGCAGTAGCAATCGTGCAACACCCTAACAGGCACTCTTTGAATTGTTGAAGGTTCTTTTGCGTTGCATATGCAGACTCGTGGATTTTGTAGTGTTTTGGCTCTCTCATGCACTTTTGTGTTCTGATGTAAAAGCCGAATACCATGATTTCTTATGCTTATGACTGCCATGTTCAAACACAGAAATAATGTAACCTAGAAAGTAAAAAACGTTAGGCTTGGTTTTCCCCCTTCCAGTTTTCTGAAACCAACTGGGCATTATTAACCTCCACGTTTCAATACTTACACTTGTTCTCAAAGCTATAGAGACTTACTACACACTTCACTTTAAACGTCCCTGATTCAAGTCAGGACTAGAAAAATTTTACACTGTGGCACCTTCTTCAGTTATTGCCGTTCAATCTTGTTGAAAGACAAACATCTAGTTCCTGGTAGGTGGAGTACATGAAAATGCGATATACGTTAGATAGTTCCAGAGATTTCCAAATCTATTCTAAACTCAGTAGTAAACACTCAACTCCTGTTTTAGGTTTGGTTCCTTCAGTTTTCTTTTGTATTATATTCTAACCCCCTAGGCTACTAGAGCTCCTAGTTTGACATAATTTCTGAATGACTTTTTGGCTTTACTCTTCCTTTTAGGTGTCATGATGGGTTAAAATGAAATTATTCCGGACTCCGCTAAATGAATGTCATAATGACTCTTTCTTTAGGTATTTGGGAGATATTTATGCAGCCCAGTCAGACTGTTAAGTTCCTTGCCAGATGAAAAAAAGGAACTTTTACAAAATGGACCAGACCTTCAAGATTTTGTATCTGGTGATCTTGCAGACAAGAGCACCTGGGATGAATATAAAGGAAACCTAAAACGCCAGAAAGGAGAAAGGTAATTGAAAATTTGAGATAATTGTAATGTCTCGTTCCTTTATTGTGCATTATTTTCAGATATAACCCAGCCCTAGAATCTATTTTTAATATCAGACTTGTTAAATTTAGCTAAAAGTCATTAGAAAGATGTGATAACAGAACTAGATAGAACAGGTAAGTAGATGAAATTGTTAGAATCTTTCTCTTTTCTCTGAACCCTTACCATCTTACACTGTCATCTCCTCATTTTCTACCCAGCATCTAACTTCTTTAAAGATTATTGCCTTGCTACTAGTCTGTTGGAGCTGGATTACTAGGTGTTTATGATCTAACTTGTGCTTCTCCTAGTCAATTTACATATCACCTGTGGATACCTTGCCTTAATTTACAAGAATGGTGGAATTTTTGTAGAGGGTACCTTGTGTTGAGAGATAACTTAATCCAGCTACTTCTATATCACAAGTAGATAGAGTCATGGAAGACCAAGGAGATACAGTCTCCACTCCAAATTTTAGGTCTTTTTTCTGTTGAGTAACCACCGTAAAATCTAGAATGTAGAGCAGACAGTGCATAGTTGTGATCGTTCCTTACTCTAAACAAATACAGTACTTTTTGGCAGTATCATTCATGAGGGATGAGATATTTTAAAACTTACTCATTCTTTTATTAGAATAGTGTAACTCTGCCTTTGCAAAAAAGGTAGACATGAGCCTGGTGCCTTGTTAGACTCCATTGTTGGTGTTTTCTAAAGTAGTTTGAGCAAGGCTAAATTTGAGTCTGTGTTCTTACTCCTATGACAGAAATTGTAAGAGTTATTCTAAGATTATGGAAAAAATTATTAACTAGGAATCGTAATAGAGGAAATTAACTTCTAAGCTGTGTAATTGTTTGGCAGCATATTTGTTAATAGATAGTTATGTTTGGCTTTTCTTAGGTTAAGACTACCTCCATGGCTAAAGACAGAGATTCCCATGGGGAAAAATTACAATAAACTGAAAAATACTTTGCGGAATTTAAATCTCCATACAGTAAGTTATCGAAGTGTAAACTATCCGCCTTAACCAAAAGCCATGTTTCTACATTTATGTAGCTTAAAAATTATTAATAATATATAAATAATAGCAAAGAAAGTAAATATGTTCAGTGATACATTACAACCAGGAATGGAAATATATTCAAAATCATTTTTCCTGGAAACAAAAAGATTTTTTGCCCTACAAGTTTGGAAACAAGGCTTTGTTTGTTTGTTTTATATGGCAAATTAGATACATGTTTCATTGGAAAGAATATAAAATTAAATGTGAAGTATGTCACATACACAATGCCATATATAAACCAATCTCCTTAACTGTTCAGTATATATTCTTTCAGATTTTTTTATTTGCACATATGAAGTATATACATTCATAAAGTTTTTAATTTAAAAATGGGATTTTGGCCGGGTATGGTGGCTCACACCTGTAATCCCAACACTTCAGGAGGCCGAGGCGGGTGGATCACCTGAGGTTAGGAGTTCAAGATCAGCCTGGCCAACACAACAAAATCGAGTCTCTACTAAAAATACAAAAAAATCACCTGGGCGTGGTGGCATGAGCCTGTAGTCCCAGCTACTCAGAAAGGAGAAAGGTAATTGAAAATTTGTGCACCTATACTTCCAGCTACTCAGAAGGCTGAGGCAAGAGAATCATGTGAGCTGGGGAGGCAGAGGTTGTAGTGAGCCGAGATCACACCACTGCACTCCAGCCTGGACAACAGAGCAAGACTCCATCTTAAAAAAAAAAATAAAAATTCAAGTCTCTCCATTCTTATGTAACTAATTGTATAAGGGAGTATATACCTTTATAGGACATGTTCACCATGCTCTAATCTTAATATAGAGTTTGGCAGTTTAACAACCTTTTTCAACAACCTCCCAGGCTCAAGTGATCCTCCCGCCTTAGTCTTCTGAATACCTGGGAGTATAGGTGCACACCGCCACTCCTGGCTTTTTGTTTTTTTGTAGAGACAGGATTTGACTATGTTGCCCAAACTGGTTCCAGACTCCTAGGCTCAAGCAGTCCTCCCGCCTCAGCCTCCCAAAGTGCTGGAATTACAGGCATGAGCCAGCGCAGTTGTTTGTAACAGGATTTTTAAATAGCGGATGTCTTCAAAAATATGTTGTAAACTATGAGCAGTTTGAAATGTCTAATCAAGGTCACCAATTGTTCAGTGGGTGGATTTTGTCAGCCTAATGGTGTTCCATTTCCTTTTGCATACAGGTATGTGAGGAAGCTCGATGTCCCAATATTGGAGAGTGTTGGGGAGGTGGAAAATATGCCACCGCCACAGCCACGATCATGGTAAGGCCAGCCTCAACCTCTACAGCTTCAGTCTAGAAACTGAAAGGGAATATTTTGTGTCTTCTTCCTAGAAATGTGCATTATGAATCTCTGGTCAGATTTTATATTATGTTTGAATTTATGAAAAATATGAAGAAAAAAACCTGATGGAATAATTCAACCTATTGTGATCTCACTCTTCTCTGAATAAATCTATTATTGGTTCTTTCATCTATATGAGTTAATCATGTGCTGCTTTAAGATATCTCTCCTATCAATTTTTGGAAACATTGTTCATGATTGCTTAGCTTTTTATGTGTTTTTCCTTTCATCTATTCAACAAGAGAGGGCTGTGCTTTCTGTTTTCACTTCCATAGAGACCTGCACATTGATCTGTTAGTTAAATATTTTGATTACTGAGTAGATACAAAAGTATCTTTATAGGCCAGGTACTATGGCTCATGTCTGTAATCCCAGCATTTTAGGAGGTCAGGGCAGGCAGTGTAGGGTCCAGCCCTGCAGGGTTCTGTGAGCTGCTCCCAGCTGGTGCGGAGACAAGAAATTGTAGAAATAAAAGACACGAGACAGAGATAGATCAAAGAGAATTTGGGCCCAGGGGTCCACTGCTACCCAAATCGTGGAGATGAGCAGTGGCCCCAAAAGCCAGGACACTCTCACTTTTATTGAGTTGCAAATCTGGGGACAGGGTAGGTAGGGCATGGTCTTGGTGGTCGGAGACTGAGGGCCAGGTAGATAGGGCGTGGCAGTGATAGGTTCAAGTACATCACGTGTCATTCAGGTAGGGGCTCAGGAATTTCTGGCACCCGAAGTGAGGTAAGGAGCATAATGCATCAGCACTGTTTCCGTATTTATCAAGAAAGAACTAAAACACTAAGATTTATGCTACTATTACTGATTATCTTTTCTAAGACAAAAGGAACCAGGTGCAGAAGCAGAACATGAGAGTAGACATGGAACGTGACCACTGAAGCACAGCACCACACAGAGACAGTTAAGCCCCCGGATGTCTGTGGGTCTGCCTGACAGCCGTCAGGCCTTACCACAAGAGCTTGGAGAAGCAGAGTTTTCTCCAAACTTCCCCAAGAAGGAGATGTCTCAGCCATTTTGGACATCTCCTTCCCTAGCTGGCTAAACAGTGGGTGCTTTCACAGCGCTGGCGCTGCCGCATAGCCGAGGTGCCCTCCAGCAGCCCTTATGCGGGCGTGACAGAGGGCTTACGGTATCTTGCCTTAGTGTGATTTATTTCACACTGTCACCCCAGGTTCACACTTCTGACCTGAGAGGCATTAGTAAAAGAATTAAGATCATCTATGAATAACTAAGATCCCATATGAATAGCTAATAACTACTACAGTTATATTTCTAGTTACTTTCTTTTTAATTATTTATATGGAAATAGGCTGAGGCCTTTTGTTCCTGCCTCTGCGCTTATGGGATCTCCCCACCACAAGGCAGACCATTTGAACCCACGAGTTTGAGACCAGCTGGGCAACATGGTAAAACCCTGTCCATACAAAAAAAATGTTTTTAAAAATTAGCTGGGCATGGTAGCACTTGCCTGTATACCCAACTACTGGGGAGACTGAGATGGGAGTATCACTTGAGCCCAGGAGGTTGAGGCTGTAGTAAGCCATGATCATACCACAGCATCCCAGCCTAGACTACAAAGCAAGACCCTATTTCCAAAAAAAAAAAAAAAAATAGTATCTTATAAACTGTGTAAGCTATAAAGAATAACACAACAGACATCCTCATACCTCTAGTGTGAGATTAAAACATTAGCATTATCTTTGAATCCCCCTCTGTACCCCCTAAACTGTATATTAAAATCCCATTTTTCATTATGTTTCCATTTTGATGTAATCATAGCTCACTGTAGCCTTGAACTCCTAGTGATTCCCCCATCTTAGCCTCCCTGAGTAGCTGAGGCCACAGGTACATGCCACTACACCCAGCTAATTTTTAAAAATATTTTTAGAGACAGGGTCTCACTGTGTTGCCCATGCGAGTCTCAAACTCTTAACAATCCTCCCACCTCAGCCCCCAGAGTAGCTGGGATTATAGGAACAAGCCACTGCACTCAGCTTCATTTTTAAATTTAAATTTTGTGTCCTTTCTTGATCCCATCCCCTTTTTTCTTTGCTGAACACTATTCTTATTGCTGAGTTTATTTTCCTTTCTTTTTAGTTTTATCACATATATTTGTGTTCCTTGACTATTAATTTAGTTTTGAATGTTTCAGATTTCTTATAACAGAACCAAACTGTATGTATCCCTTGCAGCTTGCTTTATTCTCTCAATATTATGTCCTTGAGGGTCATCTGATTCAAACTGTAACCTTTCTATTCTAGTTGATGGGTGACACATGTACAAGAGGTTGCAGATTTTGTTCTGTTAAGACTGCAAGAAATCCTCCTCCACTGGATGCCAGTGAGCCCTACAATACTGCAAAGGCAATTGCAGAATGGGGTCTGGATTATGTTGTCCTGACATCTGTGGATCGAGATGGTTAGTTGTCATCATGGCCTCTACCAGAAATTGGCTCTAAATGGTAACATCATCTTGAGCAGTGGTTTCTTTTCTTTCTAGATATGCCCGATGGGGGAGCTGAACACTTTGCAAAAACTGTATCATATTTAAAGGAAAGGTACTTATATTTGCATTTGTTTATGTAATTTAAGGACCTTTTTGGACCCATATGAGTTCAGTTTATCTAAGTTCTTTACCTGGAAGCAGGGATTATTCACTTTTTGAGGAGTTTCATACTTTCCTGATAATCCACTGCAAATTATGTACACATTTCTTTGGAAAAAGCATATTTGTATGTACAGATACATATTTGCAGAGAATTTTAGGGACTCATGAACTTATTCATAGACCTTTAGCCCATAGGATCCCTCCCTCATATTAGAGCATTAGTCTAAACTTTGAATAATTTTCTATAAAAAGTATAAACCTGTGCCGGGCGCGGTGGCTCACGCCTGTAATCCCAGCACTTTGGGAGGCTGAGGCGGGTGGATCACGAGGTCAAGAGATCGAGACCATCCTGGTCAACA